ATTGTCCTTTAATTGGAAAAAACTCCCTTGCGCCCCGCGGGTGCGGAAAAAGGAGGTGTGACACTGGCACCTAAGTAAGATTACGTCGTGGTTCAAATGATGTCAAACTCATTTTTTGTCGATGGCCTTAGCCATTGGGATGTTACTTTCGAGATGGCACCTAAGTAAGATCACGTCGTGGTTCAAATGATGTCGAACTCGTTTCTCATCGATGGCCTTAGCCATTGGGATGCTACTTTCGAGCTGGCACCGAAGTAAGATCCCGTCATAGTTCGAATAATGTCGAACTCGTTTCTCATCGATGGCCTTAGCCATTAGGATGTTACCTTCGAGCTGGCACCGAAGTAAGATCCCGTCATGGTTCAAATAATGTCGAACTCGTTTTTCGTCGATGGCCTTAGCCATTGGGATGTTACATTCGAGTTGGCGCTGAATTAAGATCCCGTCATGGTTCGAATCATGTTGAACTCGTTTCTCGTCGATGGCCTTAGCCATTGGGATGCTACTTTCGAGCTGGTATCGAAGTAAGATCGTGTTATGGTTCGAATCATGTTGAACTCATTTTTCGTCGATGGCCTTAGCCATTGGGATGCTACTTTCGAGCTGGCGCCGAAGTAAGATCCCATCACGAGAGTGGCGTTCTATTCTATTTGTTAGAGTGTCATGGATGCTAGTTTCAATCATATATTGGAGATGAGTGTTGCTTTCGTACACATAATGGAGTGATTTTATTCATATATCGGATATACATGTCCACTTTTTACATATAATGGAGATTATACCTAGTCCCTTCATTGCTCAGCCTGGAAGTGTAGTCGATAGGCGAGGCAATGAACAATACTTCGAACCTCGAGATGTACCCCTTGTCTCCTCATTAAAAACCTCCCCGAGAAAACCCGATTGGGACAAAACCCGGGCGAGGGAAAAAGAGTACCACTAGGGCGACGCCTTTTGTCAGAAGTGGAAGTATTTGAGGTGGGCGACATTCCAGTTATTTTGCAATAGTTTTCCTTCCACTGTTTCTAGCTGGAATGCTCCTTTACTTGCTGCTGCTGTGATTTTGTATAGCTCGTCCCAATTTGTTCCTAGTTTCCCTTCATTCGGGTCCTTTGTTGCTTACGTTTGGCCTTTAGCACGTAGTTCCCGACTCTGAGTGGTTGTACTTTGGCCTTCTTGTTATAGTACATTTCTGCTTGTTGTTTTTGGGCCACCATTCTTATGTATGCCATATCCCTTTACTCTTTGACCTCATCCAGTTCTTGTAACCTGCTTTCATCGTTGCTTGATCCACTCTCATTGGAGTACCTCAAGCTAGGTTCCCCGATCTCAACGGGTATGACTGCATCGGTGTCGTAGACCAATGAATGCGACGTCTCTTCTGTGTTGGTATTTGGCGTTGTGCGGTAGGCCTATAGCACCTCCGGTAGTAGTTCTGGCCATAGCCCATTGGCGTCTTTAAGCTTTTTCTTTAATATGTTTAATATTGTTTTATTGGAGGATTCCGCTTGACCGTTGCCGGCAGGATGATATGGTGTGGAGAGTATCCACTTGATGTATCATTTTTTGAAGAACTCAGCGATCTTTTTTCCGACAAACTGGTGTCCATTGTCGAAACTGATTTCTTTGGGGACGCCTAAGCGGCATATGATGTTTTTTTAGATGAACGTGATAACTTCTTGTTCGCGTATTTGAATGAACGCACCTGCTTCCACCCATTTGGAAAAATAGTCAATTAAAACCAAAAGGAAGCGTCCCTTACTTCGCCCTACTAGGAGGGGCCCGACGATATCCATCCCTCATTTTGTGAATGGCCATAGGGAGGTGATGGAGTGCAGGAGTTCCCCCGCCTGGTGTATCATAGGGGCGTATTTTTGGCATTGCTCGCACCTCTTAATATACTCTGCGGCCTCTTTTTACATAGTGGGCCAATAGTAGCATACACGAATAAGGCATCTAAAGAGGGCTCGGTTACCGGTATGGGCATCGCAGTGGCCTTCATGTACCTCTTCGAGCACTCGCCTTGTCTAATTGGGTCCGAGGCATTTGGCCAACGAGCCACCGAATGTCCTTATGTAAAGGTCGTGGCCTATGAGACTGTATTTGGATGCCTGTATTCGGAACTTTTTGGCTTCTTTTTTATCTTGTGGGAGTGTTCTTTACTATAGATATGATATGATACGATTACGCCGGTCCCAAGTTAAATTTATATAATGTACCTCGACTTGGTCTATTGATGAGTGGAGAAGGGTGACCACGTTCTCCTTGGTGATGTTTCTGGTTGCCGCTGCCAGCTTGGAGAGACCATCTGCTTCGATGTTCTGTGCTCGGGGTATTTGATCGAATCGGCAGTCGTCAAATTCTTGCAGCAGTTTGTGGATTTCGGTTTGGTATTTCTGCAACCTCTGTTCCTTAATTTGGAAAGTCCCAGTAACCTGGTACACAACGAGTTGAGAGTCGCAGCAAAGGATGACCCGTCGAGCACCATACTTGAGGGCCAATTTTAATCCTGAAATTACGGCCTCATACTCGGCCTCATTATTAGTCATTTCAAGACATCGTATAGATTGACGAATCACTTCTCCTGTTGGGACCTCGAGTACGATTCCCAGTCCTGATCCCATCGCGTTGGATGCGCCGTCGGTATAGAGGACCCCGAGGTCATATTGCTCAGGTGAAGTGCGAAGCACTTCTTGCTCGACTTCAGGCAATATCTATGTGCTGAAATCGGCGACGAAGTCGGCGAGCACTTGCGACTTTATTGCGGTTCGTTGTTGGTATGTTATATCATGCTCGATCAGTTCTATGGCCCATTTGGCTAGCTGACCAGATAATTCGGGTTTATGTAGGATACTCCTGAGAGGAAAGGTTGTCACCACCTTTATGGGGTGGCACTCAAAATATGGTCTAAGCTTTCGTGAAGCTACGACTAGTGCCAGAGCCAATTTTTTAAGGTGGGGGTACCTTGTTTCAGCATCAATTAAGGTTTTGCTGATATAGTAAATTGGAGATTGTGTACCTTGGCTTTCTCGGACTAGAACCGCACTTTTTCGGATATGGCTAGGTAGACTAGGAGGCACTCGTCTGGGTCTGCTCTGGCTAGTAAGGGTGGCGAAGACAAGTATGCTTTTAGTTTCCTCAGGGCATTGATGCACTTTGCATTCTACTGGAGCCCGTTGTCCTTCCTTATTACATTAAAGAATTTATGGCACCTATCTAATGACTATGAGATGAACCTCGACAGGGCTGCTATTCGTCCCATCAACTTTTGTACCTACTTTTTGTTGGTCAGTGTTTGGGGTATTCCTTCGATGGCCTTAATCTGCTAGGGGTTGACCTCGATGCCTCTTTGTGACACTAGGAAACCAAGGAACTTTCCCGAGTTTACCCCGAAAGTGCATTTTTCGGGGTTTAGTTTCATGTTGTACCGTCTCAATATGTCGAAGGCTTCCTTCAGATGTCCAATATGATCTTCTTTCCTCTTTGACTTAACCAGCATATCGTCAATGTAGACTTCCATTGTTTTACCAAGCTGGTTTTTGAACATTTTGGTAACCAATCTCTGATATGTCGCCCCCGAATTTTTTAGTCCGAACGACATCACTTTGTAGCAGTATGTTCCCTGGTAAGTGATGAAAGTGGTTTTCTCCTGGTCTTCTTCTTTCATGAGGATATGGTTATAACCCGAATAGGCATCCAAGAAGCTTAGCAACTCATGTTCTGTTGTTGCATCAATGAGTTGGTCGATGTGTGGCAATGGAAAAGAATCTTCGGACATGCCTTGTTCAGGTCCATGAAATCTACACACATTCGCCATTTTCCATTTTTCTTTTTAACCATGACCACATTGGCGACCCATTGAGGATATTTCGATTCCCGGATAGAGCCATTTGCGAGTAGCTTATCAACCTCTTGGTTGACGGCTTCGTTGATTGCAGCGTTGAACTTTCTTCTCATTTGCCACACTGGCGGATATAAGGGATCGATGTTTAACTTATGGGTGGCGATATCTTTTGGAATGCCTGGCATATCTGCATGGGAGAAGGCAAATAAATCGGCATGGTTAGTCAAGAACTTATGAAATTTACCTGGTTCCGAGAGGTTGCGCCCGATGTAAGCCTTTTTTTGTTGTCGTTGTCGTCTAGTAGGACGGGATCAAGATTTTCTATCATTGATTTGTATGCCTCCACGATGTCGAGGTTCTTGATAATGTCTGTCTGCACGTTAGGTTTGGCTCCCGACATCGCTGATTGCTATGCTTCCGCATTTGCTCCTTTGAGTTGTTGGGTGTGTGCGCAATCTTGGGCGATGCGATAGCATTCTTGTACGGTGTGTTGCTCCCTTCGAATGCTGAATATTCCCTATAGGGTAGGGAACTTGATCATTTGATAGAGACTGGAAGGGATCGCTCGCATGGTGTGTATCCACAGGCGCCCTATGATGGCGTTGTAAGCCGTTTCCTGGTTCATGACATGAAATATTGTTTCCAAGGTGACTCCTCTGGCTAGGAGGGGTAGAACTATTTCCCCTAAAGTCCGCTCAACTGCATTATTAAAACCTATTAGCGTTATACAGAGCGATATTATTTTATCTTTGAGTCTCATCTATACGAGAACTCGAGGATGGATAATACACGTGTCGCTACCGTCGTCTACCATTATTCGTTTTACATCAGTATCTGTGATATGTAAAGTGATAACAAGAGCATCATAGTGAGGGAAAGACAAACCGCCGGTATCTAACTTATCGAAGATGATACTATCTTCGAGGTCATCATACCGTTCGTGAGTGATTGATCGTTTGAGTTTATGTGTGGTGGTGAACTNCTCCTTTAGGTGACCTTGGTTTAGCATTCGTACTACTTCTTGTCGTAATCCTATGCAATCTTCGGTTTTGTGACCCCTTTCTTGGTGAAATTCGCAGAAAACACTTGACTTCCTAGTGTTGGGGTCTGACCTTATCTTTTGCGGCCATTGCACCTTTGGGCCGAGTTTCTCTAGGGCGTACACTATTTCTGAAGGAGAAATACAAAAATTGTGAGCGGATAGAAGTGGAGGTATACTTTTCTCGTGTCGATATGGTGTAATATGTCGAGGAGGAGCTTCTGCGCATCGGCGGGACCGACGTCCTGACGTAGGATTGATGCCTTTCTCGACCGAAACGGGGCCCCAACTAATCTCTTCGACCATCGTTATGATGATCTTTCCTTGCTTTGGTTTGACGTCAACCATTGGGGCGGGCTGTTCAGATTGTCCTCGTCGGCTCGTACCTCGGCGCAGTAGGCGTTATGGATTTCTTCCCAAGTAGTTGGAGGGTATTTCATGAGCTTGCTTAATAGTTTTCTGGTCGCCCTCGACCCGTTTCTGTTTAATCCATTCTGGAAGGCTGCTACTGCCATTCCTTCTGACACATTCAGCAAGCTCATTCTCACCCTGTTGAACTGAGCTAAGAAGTCCCTGATTCCCTCGCCGTCCATCTGTCTTATGGCGAATATATCATTTGCTCTCACCTCTGCCTTTTTGGCTCCAGTATGGGCGGTGACGAATTTGTCTGCCATTTCCTCGAATGTCGCTATCGAGCATACTGGTAGTTGAGAGTACCATGTCAAAGCTCCCCCTGTTAAGGTTTCGCCGAACTTTTTCAACAGCACCGATGGTACCTGTTCTTTTGAGAGATCGTTGCCTTTTACGGCTGTAACGTAGTGGATGATGTGATCTTCTGGATCGGTAGTACCATCATATATCTTTAAGTAGGGCGGCATTTTAAAGGTTTTTGGACTAGTGTACGCGGTCGCTTCTTCACTGTATGGTTGTTCAGTGAATCGCCCAACGTCACGTTTTGGCAGCAACTTTGGAGCGCCTGGTATTTTGTCAACTCTCTCTTGGTGTTCTTTCATTTGGTCGCGGAGTGCCTTATTCTCATTTTCCATCTCCTCAATTTTCTTGAAAACGGCTGCAAGCGTATCATTTCCTGCGTTGATAGCAACATAAGTGTTATATGTGCGGGGGGCGTCTTGTTCACCCTCGTTTATTGTGACATCTGCATGTGTCACATTCCTATCATCCCTTTGGGTGGGTTTATCAAGGATGGTGTTCAGAGAATTTGTTAGCCATTCTTCCAGCAGTCTTCTTAGTACTGGTGGTGCCTCTCCTGTTGCAGATGTAGAGGCTTCCCTTTTGCGTGAAGCGGTCACGCTCCCGTGCGGGGGAGGTGAAGTGTCCCCCTCGGGCGTGATGTTTGGTGTTTCATTTTCGTGATCCTCTCTGCTATCTTCGTTGATGGTGTCTAGGAGGTTGGCTGTGACGCCTACTATGGCTTTTAGCCTTGCATCTCCTTTCCCTGCCATTGTTGGTTTATACCAAGCTCGAAAGAAGTGATTATCCCTTTCAGGAGTCTGGATGAAACTATAATCTTAGCTAGAGAAATTCCCATAGACGGGGTCAAATTGTTTGACCCAAAAGATATTGAATCCTTTTTGGTTAAATCAATTAGAGAAGATAAAAGGGTAAATCTCAGCCAAGTATAATAAACTCTAGAATGAGGGACATGAGAGATGAATAAGGTAAATAGAATCTATTGATCTCGTGGAACAGAATGATTAAGTGTGTAAAAATGATCACCACCAATGTCAAATGAATATTACAAAGGAAGTTCTTAGTCGAAAAAGTCTCTGCCTCACAAGGTTACTTCCCTCCTATATATATAAGGGACAACCCCGTTCTGAACCCTAGGAAACATATCATAGAGAATATTCGAGAGTATATTCCTAATGCACCCTGTGAGGCCTACGCTACTACAAAAGTCATGCGTCCTTCATCCGTTGTCGGTCGTCGTCTTCCTCATAGGACGTCATGTTGTGAAGACCTCATCTTTTGTCGTATTTGACAGTAGCCGTGGTTGACCAAATTTGGACCCATACAGTAATGAAGCTAATTTTGGTGCCAAAGAGAGAAGTAAGAAATAAATTAACTTAATCCCCAAATGACTTGGATGTGAGTAAACCAAGTTATGTTACATGAAAAAAGGGAAAACAGGGTTGGAAATCACACTGGTATTAAAAAGCTAGCACAATGCTTAAGTATGTGGTGATCAAGAGTATGTAACATCTATATAACTAGTAATTCTGAAGTGATTCTTTACCCAAACAAGTCTACAAAAAACCACAAGTAATTCTTGAAATCCAAGACTATTTGAGCATCTCAGCCACTTGACCTGTCATCGTTCGTTCTACAGAACACTGGCAGACTCGATGAAAGGAAATGGAATACAGAGCAACTTCTTTTTTCAATTGAAATTGAGAATTTTGAGGCATTTTAATAAGTGGTTAATAACGTCGGAGGGTTGTTTTGGGTAATGAAGCTCAGTTTCTTCGGATCAATGAAGCTGCAATTCCACCAGCAATAAGTCCTATAATAGTTGCTGTAATTCCTATACCAATAACACCATCTGCATTGCAGAGAACACAAATGAATCCCATTTTGTATGCAAAATCAAACGACAAGGGAAGAAGTCTCTTGTCATTATTACCCTTTGTGATTCTATCTTCAATAACCTTCTTAAGCGACAACGCCTGTCTCCAATCAGGCGCAATCTGGCAAAGTAAGAAAAAGCTTTTAGAAACTAAAGAAAGAAATAAGGAGGTTAAATTCTGATTATCTCCAAATGCTTGATAAATGACAAGATCCGACTACAGTAAAAGATTAGGAGCAGACCTCCAAACAGTGACCTGTAAGCTCTCTGCTCCTTGAATATTCCCCACTTCTGTAATATCCAACAGCTAGAAGATAAAGCTTTTCTCGCTTCTGTAGTGGACTATTTGAGTTAGCAAGTGAAACTGCAAAAAAGGAAAAAGAAACAGAAAAGATGATGATTCTCATTAATTGAACCCTCAAGTAAGTTATTCATTAGATACATAAATATCCAATACTATAAAACAACCAAAGATGAAAAGCAAACCATATTTTTGTAGGGATAATACTTGCATTCTTAAAAATAACATTTATGTTACAACGGTTCAAGAGTAACGTGATTCTTGATTCTACCAACTTTACCTCCTAAAACCACTTATACAGAGCAGTATAACATTGTTACGAATTTACTAGACTGTATGGGAAAAGAAAAAAGTACTCCAACTCTTTGAAGAGAAGAAGATCACACATTCTTTCAAAGACAATGAAGAGCATAATGCTAGGATAAACAACATTTGAAAGTTGAAAGAGCATAATGAGAGTTGAGGAAACTAGGAGTTAAACAATGAAACGAGATAGTCGATCGGTGGTAGTAAAAAACTTGATATTATGAAATACGTAGAAGCCCTAGGGAATGAAAAGACAAGTTGTAACATAAATGGAGAAGTAGATCTGACTAAATTTCACCCTCAAGCATAGCTATCCCTCGTTGCACATCTTCAGGTTGTTTGGAATGGGCAAGCGCCCATGACAACCTCATAATACTCTCATTCTTTTCTTCATCACTGCCGCCTTTTGTAGCATCTGCTGCTTCTTTTTCATAGCCCTATCAATATGCATAGACACAAAAGAGTAAGCAACATAGTGCAGCAATCTCACCAATTGTGCCTCATTAATACAAATCAATTGTGCAAGGCACTATAAGAACAACCTAGTAAGGCTACTAATCTATACTATATTAAAAGCACCCTAAGGGAAGTATCGTTCGTCTTTTTCACCCTTTAAAAGTAGAGTTTATTCTGGACAAAATAGTTATTTATTATTTTCCTAATAGTTAAGACTTTAAAATAAAAAGTTGATATTTCCTTATTTAAACTAAAGTCTTATATTTAGGGCTTTAAAATCGATTAGGAATTTAAAATCTATAAATCCTTTCCTTAATTAAGTAACATAACTTTAAGAAAAAAGTATGGAAATCCTCCGCTTCTTGATTATGGAGCAAATTTAGCTTTTCTGTGTTTTCTTTAATTTAATAAAATCACACAAGTCTTTTAGAAAATAATTTTACAAGGTTTTACTCCTTATGCCTTTAAATTATGATTTTTGAATTTTTATATATGATAGTATTTTGAACAAGCAAATCTAATTATTAAAATATTTATAATCGATATCGTGATGTAGAAAAATCCAAGAAAAAACTGAGAAAAAAATTAAATGAAAGCTTGAGCGAAATGCTCTAGACTTTAAATTTTATTTATGTACATGGCAAGCATCAAGAGCTCTATTGAGTATTTCAAGAAACCAAATTTTAATTGATTTTAATGTCTTAAAAAGTATTATTTGAGATTATTACTGAACAATGTTAGATAATCTCTTCATTTGAATACTTACTAACGATTTGGAATGAAATCAAGTAAAATAATTTTCTAATAATTAGGACGTTGAAATCAACTGGATTTTAGTTATTAATTTTTTACTTATTAGAATTATGTATCAAATAATAATATATAGAATTTTAAAATTAATTAATAGAAAATATGTTCTTATTTGAACTATGTCGCATAAATATAATATTTCTTTCCATTGTATTGACAATACTTTGACGAATCATACTCAAATTAAATTCAGACGAATATAATACTTCAATCTTTATATTTTTATATCTTCGTTGTAGACGTTTATGAATTTTCTTCCGCACATTAAAATATTTTAAAATTTTTTGGGAATGAATGTGAATAACAAATCAAAATTACAAATGTAGGTAAATACATTGGAAAACATTTCCAATGACACAAGAAGATTTGAATCAACTTGAATGAGCACGTGGTTAAATTCTTTGTCTCTAAATAATAGTATCACTGTATGTACACCAGTGAGTAGAATTGCTAAAGTAGACATTTTCATCGATCAATACTTCTCAAATCGGTTACATTTTCTTCATCAAATGACTAATTTCTCTTGGATTATTTAATTGAAAATAATCAAATTCTTAATTATTTTAAACTTTTTCATCAATATTTGAAAGGAACATGAAAGGAATTATAGTTATGTTATATGGTTTAAATAAGAAACGGATTTATATAAATTGAATAGTTTTTTTTTTATTTTAAAATTTTAAATAGTAGGACTTTTAAATGAACAATATTTTATTTATTAGATTTTTCCTTACTTGAACTATGTACAAATCCTACAATATAAAATTTTAAATTACCTTACATCTTACCTTATTTAATTATTTTCTTTGATTATGATATAAATATAAAAGTAGTGATAAGTATGAGTCGTAATAGTAAGATTGTTCTTGTGACAAAGCCATCAAAATAATAAGAGAGGCCATATATCAGCATCATTCGTAAATTAAGTGTGATAATATATTTGAAGTAGAGTTTACTACTATTAAGAATGATTAATAAACTAAAAAGGCAAGCATTAAAGTCCAAACTTGTATGAATTTTTTTAAAGTTAACTAATACAAATAGAAATTTTAAATACAAATCCCTGAATAATAATATTGCATAAATGAATGATTGGAATAGACTTCCAATTTTAATTCCAAGTGGTTCTCTTGGAATAAATAAAATGTTCCTTCAAATAATAAATGAGTAAATAATTTGAGTTAAGTCTATGAGGACTTGTGTGGAACATGTTTCTTCCGTTATTGAGTTAGCAAAATAGAAGTAACATTCATCATTTTTAGGAAGTTACACTATTTTCTTTAAATTCTATTTTGTAACTCAAAACACAATTCCTAATAATATTTATGTGGGTTTTTAAAATCTTTTACTCAGGGTCATAAGGTACACGTGCAACGCGCGTACTATGAGACTAGTATAAGGAAAAACACCAACTGAAACTGTATTATCAACAGATTGAAATGCCAAACAATACAGCATCTCTACTGCAACAGCAAAGATTACAATTTTACACAGCTTTTTTTAAAAAAAAAAAATGTCAAAACACATACTACTAACTTTCTTCAAAGTTCCTGCAACATATTTCTATTTAATACTCAAGTTTCAAGAATACATTTTAGTTAGTTAAAAACATAAATTTCTTAATTGTTCCTGCAACCCAAAGCAGCAATTTGCTTTTAAAAATTGTCAAATCTAGGCGAAGGCTGATGAATGCATATTCCCCAAGACCGGAACCAAACTCTTTTACAAATAAAAATACATTGTGGTACACAATATTGCTGAAAATTCATATCCGACAATTACTCATTAAGTATCAAACAAAATGATAAAGATACCTGAAATTACTCGCACCCCAAAACATTAAAAACATCTAACATGAATGTAAAAATCCCATTATAAAATTTGTAAGTAATTGAAGAATCCTTACGAGAATGACGTCAGGAGAGCACCAAGGAAGTTGGTCACCACCATTGAGGAAGGTAATAATGCACTCAAAGAATTGGTTGATCTTCGCCTCCATGTTCTTAACTGCTGCTGTCCTCTTTTTTCAGAATTCAAAATCCACCAATTACGCAGCGTTTAGCGCAATGGCAGAGCCCAAATTTGATAGGTTTTGCCTGTCGCATTGGCGAATTAATATTTGGGATGAAACTGTTTGAATACTCATTAGTTTATGACGCAAATAATTCGGGATTAGATTCACTTTATTGGTTCTAATTTTAGGCATCATCATGCAGATAAAAGTGTGGTTCAACCATTAAGAAAGTTGATATAATTCGTTACATATATGATATATGACAAATAACAAACTCTGACATAACTAACATCAAGAGTAGTATAAAATGCTTCCTAAAAATTTACTGGCAGTGATATCAGTAGTTAAAAAGAACCAGTCAAATCCGACAATACTAGCTTTTGAAGCTTTTCTTTTTAGTTCTTCATTTGAACATTTTGGTTCGTCTAGTGATATTAAATTGTCCATTGAAAATAGTGTGTTAAGACTTAAAATAATTAGTTAGATGGATAAGAAATTAAAAAGAATCAATTGTGAGATAGATTTTTTATATTATATTAATTTCATTAATCTCGCCTATGTTAAGAAAATAATCATACATATGATGAATTGTAAATATAACACCTGTACTAACTCAGCAAAATCAATAAAATCAAAAAAGCAGATCACGTGACGCTAAATTACGGACTTTTATTGACTTCGTTCCCTGTTAAAAGTTGTCAACTTGCCAACTATGCAAACTGAAGCGCAAGTAAATACTTTAAGGTAGGGTGAACATGAGTGGGGTTGGTTCGGATTTTATAGTTACCAAATCAAATTAATTGTATTGGGTTATTAAATTTAAAGACCAAACCAAACCAATTAAATTCGAATTTTTCAATCTCGATTTTTCTCGGATTTTCGGATTATTCGGGTTTTTTCGGGGGGTTTTCGGCAAAATCTTCGTAGCACAAAGCATATAACTTGTGCTCAAAATATTTTTTTAAATTCTAGTAAGATCCAACTATATAAGATATTTTTCAAGAAAATAATATAAAATATGAGATGTGTCATGGCATTATCCTAAAATATTCAACAATAAAGACAATAAAATTATGTAATATAAATATTGCTAATTAAAAAGCCATAATAAAAATAAACATAATCTAAAAGTATTAAGTCATGCTAAAATAAGTAGACTAATAAGGGAGTATTAGTTACATGACTAAACGATAAAGAAAAAAAAATAGGTTATACATTTTTATATAAATTATTGCAAAACAAAAAATAGATATTCAATACATTGTTGTTCGTACAATTGAATTGAATATTTTTTGTTAGCATTAGCATTGATTTGATTTTGGTTTGGACTTTTGTAAGCATTATTTAAATTACTAATATTAATGTCTATAAAATTTATTGGATATAATACCTTAAAAGATAAAATTATGAAAAAGTTTAAGAAATATTTATAAATTACATCACAATAAGTATATTTATATATTAAATATATCTATCATTTCTATATATGTAATGTCGGGTTGATTTGGTTTCGGTTTGACTTTCTTTAGTTAAAACCAAACCAAACCAATTATGGTGGGGGATTTTTCCAACACCAAACCAAATCAAACTAAACCATAGGCGGGTTTTTTTCTCGGTTGAACTCGGATTATTGGGTTGTTGCGGTTTGTCGGTTTCCTTTGTATACCCCTACTTTAAGGAATAAATTTGAACCTATTATAAAACAATAAAAGAAGAGAGAGAGAGAGAGAGAGAGAGAGAGAGAGAGAGAGAGAGAGAGAGAGAGAATTCTTATTGCTTTGATATGAATTACAATGGAATAGGACACTTCTATTTATAGGGAAAGAGTGATTTAGTCACCAAGTAAAATCCCTAAAATCTATCTAAAATATAGGCATTCACCTTAAATACAATTCTATTTATAACACTCCGTCTGAATGTCAATTCAACAGATAATGTGCCTCGTTAAAACCTTAACTAAAATAAAACTTAGTGGAAAAACTTTTTAGTGAAGGAAAAAGAGTACACATATCTAACAATACGCCTTTTGGTTGTCTCGTTAAAAACCTTACAAGGAAAACTCATTGAGACAAAACCTTGTAAGGGAAAAAGAGTACAACGCGTATTAACTCCCCTTGATGAGAGCATCAATTCATATCCTTGAGCCTTCGCATTCCAATCTTGTGCACTAGCTTATTGAATGTTGACGTCGGCAGAGATTTGATGAATAAAATAGCCATATTAACTCCAATGAATATGTTGCACTCTGAAAATCCTCGCTATCACATTATCATTCTTATAGTTATAGGAAGATATATATTGTGTAAATAACACTTAGGATATGGTACTTCAGGACCAAGAATTGTGTATACTTTAAGCGATTAAAATCCTTCAAGGATTGTCATATAAGTTAAGTCATATAATAGACTTTAATTAGATGCATATCAAGTTATCATGTCATTCTAAACAAATAAGATATCACAAACTGATTGCACATATCAGTGACTTTATACTTTCAAGTGTTTGAAGTACATGTCCAAACTACATATCTTTCATATGAAACCAATTCTATTTGAATTGTGCTTCTTCTATTTGGCCAATATTTTTGTGTCTGTATTCGACAAACTTGAGGTCCTAATCTATATTTAGCGCTATGATAGATATCGTCGACAAACATTTTATATCGATTCCAATATTTTTTCATAAAGACATAACATAGAGATATCTTCATTCATATTTTCAGGTACTTGAACCTCTCCTGCGATTTTATGAAGTGTTATGTCATGTGATCTTCTAGATCACTTGCCTCCTTATTATGATCATTTTGATCATTTGCTCATCTTCTTTGTCAAAAATTTTATTTGAAACCGATTTGTCTATACTCTTTAAGCGTACCATAGACTTTGTCCTTCTAGGACTTATTCTAATAGGAACATTTTTAGTGAGAATATAATTACTTTATAGGATTTATTCTAATAGGAACATTTTTAGTGAGAATATAATTACTTTATTTGGGTCAGCAAATACGTCCGGCATGCTTTGTAATATATTGCAAATGAATTATCTTTTTGTGAACTTCAAGTTCATATTATATTCGAGGATCTAGAGGTACAAATGATAATTCATTCCATGTAACTTTTTCTCAACTATTTATCATGTCTCCTCCTCATGTTAGAAAAACTAACTTGCTTCCTCAACTTTGGAAGCTCACCTTTGTGCGTTATAGTGTTAATCAAAACATACATTGCACATCAATAATAATAAGATGAAATTATTTGGTTCCTGATCTTGAACTTGTGAGGGGAGAATGTAATATACTATCGTACATAACCTATACCAATCTGATATAGATAACTTTGTTCTCCTAAAAAAATAGTTTAGCTATTAAGTGGAGGCACTTAATAAATTATTTTGCTAAACCAATCGTGATGTAAACCAACTTATGAAGATGAACTATCTCGAATAGAAAATATGAAAATTATACTCGAAATTAAATTATTGAGCAAGTTACATCGCAAACATCAGGTTGCGGGTTAATAATAATCGCACATATAACCATCTCATAGATGCATCTTATGTGGTATACATGATGGGTGAATGAGCCCATATTCATATTTGATATTTCCAGCATTCATGGGATTCAATCCCAGTTTTAGTTGATCTATTAATTAATGAGAACAACATAAGAGAATTCGTATAGAATTTTCTAGTTCTTTAATATTTACCCATGTTAACTCTTTTATTTTTGCACATCATACTTAAATTAACACGGCTAAACCAATTATGCCAACTGAATAAATTATCAATATTGATAAACTTCACATTTACACCATGACGTATGCAATTATCAATAACTCCAAGTTTATTATGATATGAGTTTTTATATCAATAAACTTTCACTTTATTGTGGCATTCATTTATTTATGTAGTACAAACTGAGAATAAAGCGGGTAACTTTTTACATACATATTACCCCGCTACAAGTTGTAGTAATATAAGAAATTAAATCTTTCCTTTATTTATAATCTCAATATAATCAACCGCTTTCGCGAATATTTTAGAAACTAAATAAGTTTCTTTGAGACTTACTACAATACAATACCTTATTGATGATCAATTTTATTTCTCCAAAATAGTATAATTGGCTCTTCTAGAAGTGAGTGTGGAATATTCATTACCACTAGCACGTTTATATTCTTCAAACGATGAATATGTATTCATAATCATGTTGTCATATTCACATCATGAATGGACCATAATCATCTATATGTACTTTATAAAATTTCATGTCAAATCAATGTCATATTACTTTCACAGAAAGGATTATTTTGAAATCCTTATTATTCTCATTACCACAATGGTGACGATTATAATTTCGTCTATTATCACATCCATACCCATTGATACATTCATAGTAATAATTTTGCCTTCTTTCAGACTTATCACATACTGCTATCATATTCTCTTAAGGGGATGAGAATTGTCACGACCCAAAATCTGACTCGGTCATGATGGCTCCTATCGTGGAACTAGGCCAGCCACTTATTCCAATTTTCCTTTTTACCCAATTTATTAACTTTATAAAACATCAATTTTTAAACAGAAATCCAATAATAAAAGATAGAAGTATCCAAACAGCGGAAAGAAATACAACCCTGACCTCGGATGTCACTAGTCATGAGCAAACTAATACAGCTGTCTAAAATACAAATCTAGAATAGTCTGAATACATCCAATAAGTAAAGCTGGAGGAAGATAGGGAAGGAGAAGGCGGAACTGCAATAGCCAAGCAGCTACCTCGCAATCTCCGGTAGAAGTCCGCACAATGAAGATCAACAACCGCTATCGTGACCACATACACCTGGATCTACACACAAGGTGCAAGGAGTAATGTGAATACACCAACTCAGTAAGTAACGAGTCCAACCTGTGGACTGACAGGTAGTGACGGACCAAACCTCAGCAGGCAATTAGAAATTAATAGAACATAAATATAGACATGCTTACAGTTCAAGTAAAAGTCAACAATAATAGATTCAACTGATCAGTAAAGAGTTCGGAACTCAGAGATTTCATATATGTTCCAATGCACAACTAGCATGATCAATGTTCCACAACCTCCACTCATAAGT